TGGCAGTAGTCAAGAACACTACTGACTGAGCTGCTCAAGCAGCAGCTGCCAACCTTGTAAAACTTATTAGTACTTAAGCTAAGCTTGAATTTTTAAAGTTCTTTTTTTCAAAATTGGCTGGCCATTGCACTTTCTTGTTTTGAGGGTTGAACACCCTAAAGGAGTACTACCTACATACCAAGTCTCATCCCGAAGTGACTTTCCCAGGTTGTGCCCAGTCCACAGGTGAACATTGTGTGTTTTCTTCATGACAATGCAAGCTTTATATATAAGGTTGACGAACAATGCATCATCTGATTACCATCTCTTCTGCTTCATGAAACACCTCTTGGGTGGAAAGCAGTTCACTGATAGCGAGATGAAAATTGCCATTACATTCAAGCATCTTCTGTCAATTGGACAAATCACCAATTCCTGCTGAATAAAACTTAATTGCACTTCATTCTTCAAGTCAAAACAACTTATTTTTTGTTTTTTATATAAATGTTGTACTATAAAACTCCAGAAACTTTTGCATCCACCCAATAGTTCACAGCTAAGATGAATAAAAATAATAACTATTTTGTTTCTTTTTATGTACCATTTATACACCAACACTTACTTATCTGTTACTAAAGCAATATCACATCTTTCTTCTTTGCTCAAAGGTGCATGAGCCCAATATATATCACTTTCTGCATAGTGACCTTTGCTTAAAAAGAACAGAAGTCTGTACCCTGTAGCCTGATATGGCGAATACGGCTTTAAACCCTGATTAAATAAATGTAAAATATTAGAAACAGTTCAGATACAAATATATACTAAATATGTAATCATTTCATCATAATTGAGAATATACAGCATATCTATAATCTGGTTTGTGGACTATTACATTCCTGATGTAATGTAAAGATTGGCATTAACAATACAGAATTTTATTTCTTTAACTCTTGCAATTTAAAATATATAATATATTGAGCATCAGGATTTCTACTAGAATGTCAAGGAATACAGTAAGTGCAGTTAAGTTCCAGGTGTACCGATTAATAATGCAGATTTTCTTCAATAGATATCAAATTACATATGTTGATATACACTAAGTAGCCAAAAAATTAGACACACCTCTTATTTGTAAGTAAACCATTCCGACAGTGACATAGAGTGACGTAACAACACAGAGTTGCTTATATAAGGAATGCTCAGCTTCAGATGACATAGTTATTATCACAGAAGTCAATGTCAAAAGATAAAAGATTTAAGTGAGGGATGATTGTCTGTGCAAGAAGAGTTGGTGCCAGCATCTGTGAAACAACTTTTTTAGGATTCTCCCCCAACAGTATCTTGGGTGTTTAAAGAGTGGCAGTTGAGAAAAAAACTTCAAGTGATAATGACAATTCTGGTCTAAAAAGACTGATGAACAAGAGAGGTGAAAGGCACACAACAATAGGACAAATTACAGCTAAATTCAATGCAAGTGCATCATATAAAGCATATCCCAATGCACAACAAGACAGACTTTGCGAAGGATGGGCTTTAGCAGCAGGAGACCATCAAGACGGTGCCTTTCATATAACAGAAAAATAGGAAAAGGCACTTGTTACGGGCCCAGGAATGACAAAACTGGTCACTTGAGGACTGGAAAAAAGCAGCCAGGTCTGATGAATCTTGTTTCACCATGCAAATGGCACAAATTCATAGACCCTCCCCCTCTTGCCAAATGATAACTCTTCAGGCTGGTGGCAGTGGAATTATGGTGTGGGGAATGTTTTCTTGGAGTACACTGGGTCCATTGATATTTGTGGACACATCTCTGAATAACACAGCTTACCTCAACATTGTTACTGTGAGGGTCGGACCGAATAAAATAAAATTAAACAAAGAAACCTTCTATTTTTCCCCTCTTTTGAAATCTCGTTGAAATCTTACAACAAAAGGATGAACACATTTCCTTCCCTGAAGCCACTTCCTTTCTCTCCGGAACTCTAGAATGAATCACAGGAAACTTATTTTTTTGCGATTGGCAAAAAGAGGATAATGTGACTTGAGATATAAAAGAGGGGGTGATGAAAGAAAAAAAGAGTTCATCATTGCCACCCAGGAATTGAAGGCCGGATAAAAAGGTTCCACTAACCCTTGACAAATCTTCAACTGAAGATGGCCACCCTGTCCAGATCTGTCACGCTGTTCAATACCTACAATCCTAGAGGTATGATAACGAATATTGTAAACTCTCTCTTGGCGATAGAATCTTGATGTTATCTAAGTTATTGTCCAATAAAATTTTGTTTTATTGTTAAATGGTGTCTTTTACTCGAGTATTGCCCACGCCTTACCAATGACCCCCTCTCACCTCCTTCACTTGACCTGACAAAAAGAAGCTCGATCCTTGGGGATAGGGAAAAATAGACAAGCCATCCTTTGATCAGTAGGCAGGCTTAACCAGCCTGTAATGCGACCCGAAAAAGGTACTACTCCGTCCTACCCACAAATTGGTTTTTCAGGAGAGATAATGGGTTTCTGAAACTGAAGCAGAACAGGAAACTATCCCTCCTTATGCTCTATGAAGTCAAGGGTCAATTCCCGACCAGTTCCTGGGTTATGCCGCAGCCTGGTTGTAGCCGTATACCTCATTTTATCTCTCCCGCCGCTAGTCAGTCATCCTCCCCTTAAATCTTTAAATAATTAGTACATATATTGATAGCAAATTAATATATTCCAATAGTAGTAGTAGTACCCGAACTAACCTATTTCTAATCCATCCTCCAAATGTTAGAGGGCTTCACTGTTATATATGTTATTTATTGCATTTTTCGCAGTTCCAAAAAATTAGAAAACTTGAATATGTTGAAATGTTTTGAAAAATTTTGGAAAAAATGCTAGTAAAAAAACTGTCACCGGGCGTCTCACACACGCCATGCGATTTGGGAAGTGATTTATTTTTCTTATTTCTACACTCCATTGACAAACTTTTCTCCTATTGTTGGAGTCAAGTTTTCCGTTTTATCTTAGCAAGTAAGTTTATAATTCTATGTATTCTGGAGAATATTCTGTAATTTTTAGCATATAATGGAAAAATAACATGGTATTTACAATATGATCCTTATTTGTAGAGTTCATTGATAGTCTTTACTGTTTGTGAGACGTTTTCCATCTTATCTTAGCAAGTAAGTTTATAATTCTATGTATTCTGGAGAATATTCTGGAGATATTCTGTAATTTTTAGCATATAACGGAAAAATAACATGGTTTTTACAATATGATCCTTATTTGTAGAGTTCATTGAGTCTTTATTGTTTGTGAGACGTTTTCCATCTTATCTTAGCAAGTAAGTTTATAATTCTATTTATTCTGGTGAATATTCTGTAATTTTTAGCGTATAACAGAAAAATAAGAAGGTTTTTTAGAACATTTTCCTTATTTGTAGAATGTCTGATAGCGAGGATAGTTATATGGCGCTCTCTGAGAGCGGATCCGAGTCTTACGTCCCAAGCATAGATGATTCTAGCAGCTCGGACGACTCAGGAAGAGATGCTGCTAGATTGTGGTGTGATGCTAACACCAGCAGTTTTCCAACGCCTCCTCCACGGTTTCCATTCACTGGGTCTCCTGGGTGTCGGTTTTCTAGAATTCAAGTAACTGAACCATTGGATTACTTTCGTTTATTTTTTGATAACGAGTTGGTGGACGAAATTACTACAGAAACCAATAGATACGCTGTAACGAAACCGCAGACATCCAGGAGGCAGTGGATTCCTGTTTGCATAGAGGAAATGTTTATCTTTTTAGTGTAATATTATTGCAAGGCATAATTCATAAACTGGATGAGAGGATGTATTAGACCACGAACGAAACACTTTCCACTCCAATTTTTCGAAGATTAATGTCAAGAAATCGTTTTTTGGAAATAAAACAAAATTTGCATTTTAGTAATAATCAAAATTATAATCCGCAAACTCATCCAAACCCTAAACTGAATAAAATTTGGCCAATAGTTCAAAATTTTCGCGTCTGTATGTTTCAGAAAGGGATATAGTGGTGGATGAGAGTTTGATGCTGTTCAAAGGACGTCTTTCGTGGAGACAATACATGCCTCTCAAACGGTCTCGTTTTGGTGTGAAATTCTACATGCTATGTGAGTCCTCATCTGGCTATCTGTATAATTTTATAATATATACTGGAAAGAACACAGTTTTCAACGAGAAATATACAGATATGCCTGTAACATCAAAAATAGTGTTATCTTTAGCGGACTCGTTGTTAGGCAAGGGCTATTGTCTAACAACAGATAATTTTTATTCTTCCTCACATTTAGCTGATTATCTGGTGACAGTCCAAACGGATTTCTTCGGAACTGTGCGGACGACCAGACAACAGATTCCGGCTGAGGTTAGAAATAAGAAATTGAAAAAGGGAGAAACAGTGGCGATGCAGAGAGGTAAAGTGATGATTCTGAAGTGGCAAGACAAAAGAGCCGTCACTTTACTCTCTACGGTCCACAACCCAACAATGGTAACCAAACAAACTCATGCCGGTAAAATAGTTGTAAAGCCACAGGTTGTTATCGACTATAACGACACAATAGGAGGTGTTGACGTTTTAGATCAGCATCTTCGAGATTATCCAGTGGCAAGAAAAAGAGGGAAGAAACTTTACAAAAAAGTATTTTTTCATTTGTTGGATATCTGTACATTCAATGCTTTTGTTTTGTATCAAAAAAATGGTGGCGTCATGGATCATCTGGAGTTTCGAATTAACGTTATAGAAAGAATTATAGAGGAGTATCACACCGAAACGAGGGTTACAAAACAAGGTCAGCCGAGAATTCCAGGTCCACTTAGACTTATGGAAAGACATTTCCCGGACCTTCTTCCGGCGACCGACAGAAAAAAAGCTCCCACTAGACGCTGTGCCGTATGCAAAACTAAGCATGACGGTGCAGGAAAAAAAATAAGACGCTGTGCCGTATGCAAAACTAAGCATGACGGTGCAGGAAAAAAAATAAGAAAGGAGACGAGGTACTTTGCACAGGTACAAAGGTACATTGCAAAGCTTGCAATGTACCTTTGTGTGCTGCACCATGTTTTCAGATGTATCACACAATGGAAAAATTTAAAAAAAATGTATTCTTATTTTTTAAATAGAATTTCATGTAAAAATTTTATATGAATATTTGATCATTACATTAAATTTATTTTCTTGATACCTTTCTTATTTTTAACTTTAAATCACATATAAATATATATTTTTATTAATAATTATGTAATT